ATCACCCCATCCATCAATATCCCCATGGCAAACCCACCATAGAACTCAGTTCCAAACATCCAACATTCAGGAATCCCATCAGGCCTGGCCCAGTGGGCTCAGGCAGCCTAGAAGCCTGGCAAAAGGGGAAACGGCACCCCAATGATGCTGATGATGCCCGCCAAGGGGGCCAGCATCATCAGCATCATTGGGGGTCCATTTCTCCATTTTTGGCTTCCCATGCACCCAATGACCCCTGATGAAGTCTAGATCTTTCTCAGCCGTACCCCAAGGGGGGCCTTAGGGCTAGTTTTCAAAACGGCCCGTGCTCCTGATGCAGATTTTGGGGTCTCGGCGGTGCGGGCGCCACCGCGTCTAGAGCTAAAGCTCTAGAAGACACGGGCTCCGCCCTGGACCACGGCGGCAGGGCCGGATTTTAGGCCTAGTGGCAGGGCCCGGGCCTGCCACCTTCGTACTTTGGGAGCTTTTCTTTTGCTTTTGACCCTGCCGGTCCTAATTACGCCAAAATGGGTTCCCAATTGTGCTGATGATGCTCCTGTACGAGGTGCGCGCGCGCCTTGTACAGGAACAAACATCATCTGCACAATTGGGATCCCATGTGGGCTTGATTGGGACCAGGAGGGGTCAAAAACTCAAGGAAAGCCATCAAAGATGACTTAGACATTGTTCTCTGTGCAGGCTGACCATGTTCTAGGCCGCGATTGCACTTTTTTTGGCAAATCAGCTGCCAATAGGAGCCACGTTTCACGCATTGGACAAGCTTAGGAGCCACAAAAGTGCTGGAAACATGGGCAAAACGCGACCAAAAACCATGCAACATGCACATTTTATTGCCTGCTTGCTCCAACAGCACTTAAATTGTGTACGTGTGCCATTTTGGGTCAAGCACAAAATTTTCAGGTAGTTTACAGGCCCGTGCCATGGAGTGGAGTACAGGAGTGGCTAGGGTGCAGGCACAGTGGCGCAACTTGCTTGAAGAGGACCCAGACCAGGCGATTGAGGCCCTGTCAGGCATGAGTGTGCACGCAAGGGCGCGGGCTCATGCTCTGGTCACCCTGGCGGAAAGGCACACAGTTGGCGGAGGACAGTTGGTGGACTCAGGACTGCAGGCGTTCCAGGAGACTGCAGGTGGCTACGTGGAGATCGCTTCTTTCCAGCTTGGTCCTAAGGTTCCTCAGGTGCCGCCTGGAGCACCCCCACCGAAGACACCTCGTACCTCGCAAATGGGAGCCTCCGCACCCGGCACTCAGGGAAACTCAGGGCTGCAGGCTTCTTCAGGACAACAGGACCCTTGGCGTGGATGGCACAGCGGTTGCTTGGTCAGGACGGTAGTAGAGTGGACAGCACTACCGCACGCCAGTCAGGTTTCAGGATCCTCGGTGTACAACAGTGCGGACCAGGCCGCAGCCAAGGGTCGTGGAGTACAGCCTGGAACCAGGTCAACGCCTCAGGCTGCAACCTCAACCTCTGAGCGTAGGTCACCCCAGGCACCAGTCTCAGAACACCGCTTGATGCCCAACATGACAGGAGTGCCCTCAGAAGCCTGGGGCAGACATATCAGCTACTGTCATGGTGCGCCGGTTTGGTTGCCTTGCTAGGAGCAGTGGGCCTCGAAGGAGATCTCCCGCCCATGCAGGCCTACAGGCCGCTCCGTAGGCACCGATTCAGGACCATATCTTCAGCACTTGCTCGTAGAGGTTTCGTGCTCAACGGCTTCTGCCTTTTGCATTTCTCTGAGTCCTGTGGAGTCTCGTGTTCCAGGCCTGTAGCTTTTGGGACCCAAAGGGGTCACGCCAATCACAAGTGTCCGACCTGTCACCCTTAGGTCTTGTGTCTTTTTGAGCCCTGGTTTTATGAACACAAGGGCACTTTAAGCAAGACTATAGGTGTGCCGTTAGGTGTGACGGGTGCGTAGGGCCCCTCAGGAGTTTCTGTGCAGGCCACGTGCTCAGCTTTTATCAGAACAGCTTCAAGCCATGAGCAGTGGAGTGCAGGGTCTCCAGGTTTTTCCAGGAATGTGTGGTTCGTCGTGCCCCGAGAAGCCTCTGACAACCATGTCTGCGCAGGAATCTGCACGTCCCGGAAAACCGTCCAGATAGGAGAGCCTGCCTTGTTGGGCTTTGCAGCTTGACTTTGGTGAGCACACAGCTGGCGACTGCAGGTCCTCAGGCAACTGCGGTAGCAGCTTGGCTCAGACGCAGTGCGGCCGCAGGGACTCCAGTGCGTTGGCTTTGACCTCAGACGCATCCCTTGTCAGAATGCAAGTAGACACACTTCGCCACAGGTAGACCAGCTTTGGAGGCTGGCCCAAAGGTGTGTGGCCTTGAGGCTGTGCACTTGCCTGGCTTGTGCCAGGCCAGCCCTGGCAGCTTGTGCTGCCTGACAGGCCTGGAGGCACTCAGTGTCGTGTGGTGACACTTTGTTTGCTCCTTTGGATCAGGCTGGTGCAGAAATGGTTTTGCGCAAGCCTTGCTCAGCCTGTGGCAGGTGGTTCGGGCCTTGCGGCCAGAGCAGGACATGAGGCAGCTAGTCCAATGGGATAAAGTGGGCTGCGCCGTGCCAGGACAGCTTGGGCTGACTCCGGTGCGCACAGGACAGTGGTGCTTGTCAGCTTCGTCTTGCTGCCTCGGTCAGGAGGGCCAGTCGATGCAGGCAACAGGTCGGCAGACATTTTGCTCACAAATCACGCCAGCTTGAGCTTGGCCAGGCAGCAGTTATCCGGGTGGCGGCCAGCCAAGAGGCCAGAGGATTCGGAGCCGTGTGTCGGGCACATGTGTGGTCTTGGCAGGTCAATATGGCGGGCGTCTCCGATTCCCAAGTGACCTTCACTGACCGTTGCAAACGTTTTGGGTTGCCCCAAGACAATGTAGATGACTTGATAGCAAAAGGTGTGTGCACGTACGGCCAGCTTTTGTTTAGGGTGGCGTCAGGACCGAATCAGGTGGATGACGCCAAGCTGAATGATTTGATCAGCTCATGCAAACCCAACCTTTCCTTTCCGACTCAGGCAAAAGTGCCATCAAGCGACTTGTCTTTGAGGCAGGTACTTTCGTAGTGGCTGAACTAAAGGACGCCATAAGCTCTCCGGGCGTTGAGGGGGTCAAGAGGTTGACTCCCCAAGAGCGCGACTCCAGGTTTCAGGCAGTTCAGCAGAAACTAGGCAGTTTTGCTCTCGCAGGGCCGTATGAACGTGCGCGTAGTCTGATTGACGTGTGTTCAGGGATGGCCTCGTCGCAATGCATTAGTCACGTAGCCCTCAGCAGATGTGCAAGCAGGGAAATGGAGGTGGCTTCAGGGAAGAAGGATGAGCAACTTCTTCGATTAGAAAACTCATCCCTCAAGTTGGCCAGCAAGCCACAGCAGGTAAAGATTGATGTGTCCAGTGAGCTCAGGGTGTCGCAGGCTCTCACCAGGCGTGGCGTGGCCCTTGAGATGTGTGGCATGTGCTCCTTTGCCGAGCATGAGAGCTACGCCAGGGCATTGTTGGCACATGTGCATCAACCTGCGCCCCCAGGTTACCAGCCTCCAACTTTAGATCAGGCGTTGAGGGCCGATCGTGAACTCTGGATCCGCATCAGCGAAACAGTTCGTCATCAGTTCGCAGGGACTCACGGCACTGGCCCAGTGGATGATGCCATAAAGTGCCACAAGGATTCAGCTCAGGTCCTTTTTCATCTGCGCCCCATGCCCCTGCCCCCAAAGTTGCCTGCAAATCCCCTCAAGCGTCCGTGGACAGCCACACAGGAAGGCAAGGGCAACAAAGACAAGGGCAAAGGGAAGGGCAAAGGCAAGCAGAAAGGCAAAGGCAAGGGTGCCCCACGCATTCAGACTAACGTACCCGCGGCACTCAAGGGTCTTCACCCGAACTATAATGGTGAGGCAATATGTTTCGATTATAGTCTCCCTCACGGGTGCCAACTCGAGACACGGGAAACGCCCTCCGGTGTCTCCTGTAAAAAGGGTCTCCATATCTGTGTGCGCTGTCGTGGTGCTCACTCCGCCAGTGGCTGTGACAAGTAGGATGCAGGGTGGAGTGTGGTTCAGGGTGCAGTCTCTCAGGCGTTGCAGGTACCACACTCCTACACCCAGCAGTTGTCGTCGTGCAGTTTTGCCTTTGCCTTCAGAGAGGTCAGCTCCCCTGCCCAAGCAGTTCAGGAGCAAGAGTGCCCTCCCCAGCCCAATGCTGACACAGTCAGAGATGACGCAGACGAGGTCAGCCATGCTCCACAGAGCCCGCCTTCCAACATTACAGCTTGTCCCGCTCAGGCTACACAGGATTTCAGGAACAGTCGGAGCCAGCTCCGACTGATGCAGGTCCACCCAGTCGCGATCAAAAGCTTTGCAACATGACAGTGTCAGATGCAGTAGTCATATGGAGCTTGATCCTAAGTGTTTGTCCGCTGACGCAAAGGCAAGGATGCTGCATTCTGTCCGCAGCATCCTTGCTCACAGGTGGAGCATAGCTTTCCTTTGGATTCCCACCGTCCTTCCCCTGTCTCCGCCTGTGTCTCTTTCTCTGCCCGTGTGCTCCCAGTGATCGACTGGACTCGGTCCTGGTTGAGCTTGCATCTCTCTGCCCATCTCCCCGTGATCCACTGGTTTTGGTCCGGGTCGAGATCAGCACTTCCACTGTCTTCCCGTGATCCCTTGGACTTGGTCCGGGCTGCGCTCTGCATCCGCTCCTGGTGATCCCTTGGTTTTGGTCCCAGTCGAGCCCTGTCTGTCCGCCTGCTCCCAGTCGATCCTTTGGTTTTGGTCCTGGTTGAGCTCACTGGCGGATTTCCCGGCGTCAGAATTCTGTCCCTCCAGCACTGCCCGTAGGTACACGTAGTCTGTCCGTAGGGCTTGCTTAGGGACTGTTCTGTTTTGCCAACCGAGTCAAAAAGGAGCGTTGCAAGTTTCTGTTTTCCGTCCGTAAGAAACTTGACCCTTAACTAGCATGCGTAACGGACTAGTCTTGGACGAACGATATGGAGCTTGATCCTAAATGTTTGTCCGCTGACGCAACGGCAAGGATGCTGCATTCTGTCCGCAGCATCCTTGCTCACAGGTGGAGCATAGCTTTCCTTTGGATTCCCACCGTCCTTCCCCTGTCTCCGCCTGTGTCTCTTTCTCTGCCCGTGTGCTCCCAGTGATCGACTGGACTCGGTCCTGGTTGAGCTTGCATCTCTCTGCCCGTCTCCCCGTGATCCACTGGTTTTGGTCCGGGTCGAGATCAGCACTTCCACTGTCTTCCCGTGATCCCTTGGACTTGGTCCGGGCTGCACTCTGCATCCGCTCCTGGTGATCCCTTGGTTTTGGTCCCAGTCGAGCCCTGTCTGTCCGCCTGCTCCCAGTCGATCCTTTGGTTTTGGTCCTGGTTGAGCTCACTGGCGTTCCGTGTGAATTCTGCCTGCCCTGATTTCCGCACCGGATTTCCCGGCATCAGAATTCTGTCCCTCCAGCACTGCCCGTAAATACACGTAGTCTGTCCGTAGGGCTTGCTTGGGGACTGTTCTGTTTTGCCAACCGAGTCAAAAAGGAGCGTTGCAAGTTTCTGTTTTCCGTCCGTAAGAAACTTGACCCTTAACTAGCATGCGTAACGGACTAGTCTTGGACGAACTGTTTGCTGGATCTGCCAACTTGAGCAAGGCCTTCAGGGCCATAGGCATGCAGGTCATCCCGGTTGACACCAAGGATGCAGCGCAGGTAAAAATGGTCAAGTTGAATCTGTTGCACAGCAACTCAGTGCAAATGGTGCTCAGGCTACTTGAGACCAGAAAGGTGGTCTTTGTGCATATGGCGCCTCCATGCAGCACGTCGCTCAAAGCCTTGCCTTTTGGAGCCACAGGCAGCGTTCAAGGCTTCTGCAGGTGTAGCGTTGCCCTTTGGGCGCTAGTGCTGCACTATGTGTTAGTTCCAATCACGGTCTTCTTCGATGACTACACCTCAGTGGTCTCTGCTCTAGATAGCAGCAGCTCTGAAGCAGCATTCGTGCTTCTCATGAGAATACTAGGGTGGAAGGTGGCAGCTGACAAAGGCCAGCCCTTTCCAGAGCCTTGGAATCAGCTTCCTGCTTCCAAGGTCTGCAACCGATCCTGTACAAGTTAGCAACACAGAGCAACGGAGGAAAGAACTTGCAGCTGTGTGCTTGAGCCTCCTCAGGTGTGGCAGAGCAAGTGCGCATGAGTGCTCGGTCTTTGCAGGCCGACTTAGGTGGATGGAAGGCCAAACCTTCGGCAGGCTGGGACGAAAGTTCTTCCGCGCCATATTGGCATCAGGTGATCCTCCAAGTGATTGCAAGCCCCGAATCATGGATCCCTCACTGCGTCAGGCGTTTGAGTGGATCCTTCACAACGTCCCCAAGGCCCCGCCCAAGTGCTTCAGGCAGCCAACAGGGAAAACCTTCCAGCTTTTCACTGATGGATCCTTTGAGTCCCATACAGGGGGCATGGCAGGAGTTCTCTGCCGAGGCAATGGCAGGCCGTGGCAGTTCTGGAGCCTACAGGACTCGTGAACAGGTGGCTACAGGATGGCGTGCAGCGCCCCATCATGCAGTGTGAGTTGCTAGCAGCGGCGATTTCTCTTGCAGTTCCAGTCCTGTCCTCTCCATCTGACTTTGTGGATAGACAATGATGCAGCAAGGTATGGCGTCATTGCGGCGCAAGCTTATCCTCGGAGCAACATGCTCATAGTCCAGGCCTGCCTGGCAGCTGAGGTCGACTATGGCCTCAGCTTGTGGATTGCAAGGGTACCTAGCGTCTCCAATCCTGCTGATGCGCCCAGCAGAGGAGAAATCCCTGCCTTCCTTCAGTCAGCCTCTGAGATTACAGTTGAAGTGGGGATGATCTGGAGGCTGGCCAAAGGCCTTTCCGCAAAAGAAGGTGGGGGCAGCACTTGACCAGGCCTCCAGCTTAAAGCTGTAGAGTTCCAGTCCGGACTCAGTTCTGCGCAGGACAGCAGGCATCCCCAGGATGGCATCTTGCGCAGCAGGTCCGCAGGTGTTTGCAGGACAAACTTGGACGAAACGTCCCCACTTGCTCTGCATGCATTCCGTAAATGTGCGCAATTTAATGCCTGCTTGCTCCAACAGCACTTAAATTGTGTACGTGTGCCATTTTGGGTCAAGCGCAAAATTTTCAGGTCCCACCCTCCCACCCTGATGAGGAAAGTGGAGGACCCTCTTTGGGACCTAGGTGTCGGATTCGGACAAGTGCCGGACAGGGGACGCCACCTTGTGTTGCCGTGGGGGCAGCCTGCCTTTAGTTTCCTTTCAGGAGCGTCAGGGTCAGCACATAAACTTTCTCAGCTGCTGCAACAGCCCGAACCTGTCCCGCTTCCTGAGGTGCAGGAGGAACAGAGACCGTGCAAGGCCCCCAGACTTCACCAGCCGAAGCTAAGGGCCGTTGGAGACTACAAAGTCTCGGATGCCCAAGCTGAACGTCAGGCTGCACTCACAAAGTGGACTCAGATCATCAGGTTGATCCCGATGCTCTTCGACGCGACCACGTTATCCCAGGTTCACCATGAGGATTTTGCAGTTGAGTCGGGCAACCTTGACATGTTGTTCAGTAAGAAGTCTACAAACACCCTCATTTGCAGGGCAAGCTCAATGCTTAGGTTTGGCAGCTGGGTTGTCAAGAACTTCCCAGCAGAGACAATCTCTGAGTCCATGGTCTTTTTGTACTGCAAGAAGCTGAGGACAGACAAGCAGGCAAGTTCAGCGCCAGACCAGCTGCTTCAGGCGTTGAATTTTTGTTCGGGGACCATAGGACTCTCAGCGCCGGTAGCCGAACTTAGGTCCTCCAGGACTACAGGCTTGGCCCACCAGTGCCTGAGGGCACAGGGGCCAGCCAAACAGGCTCAACCACTTACAGCAGCTCAGGTGCTGTGGCTTGAGCATCTCGCGCGGCAAGCAGAAGATGCTTACAAGAAGCTCTTGGCATCATCTTTCCTGCTGATGTTGTATGCCAGAGCTCGACACAGTGACATCAGAAGAGCCGTCAGGATTGACATTGATGCTGGCTCAGACTTCATTTCAGGTTTTGTGGAGCTAACTGTTCAGGAACCAAAGCAAAGCAGGGCAGCGAGGAGAAAACGCCTCATGTTACCTGTAGTGGCTCCTCTCATGGGCATAGGAGATAGGCCGTGGGGCTCGGCCTGGCAGGCTGCTCGCAAGCGTTGGAAGCTTGGACATACAGGTAACATTGAGCAGGAACCTTTGCTTAAAGGCAACGCTTTTGTCCTGGTCGGCCAAAGCCAGCATGGACACCCTCGAAAGGACTATTTTAGGGTACCATAGCGCAGGGGTTAGCAGTTCGGCGCTCAGCTACAGCAGGGACGCCATGGCAGGACCACTCAGGAGCTTGCAGAACCCAGAAACAGGTCAGGATGAAGAAGTTCAACCCGGATGATACCAGATCTGGGAGTGTGGGCCGTGTCGAGCTCTTCAGGAAGTTCTTCAGACCCTGGCAGTGCATCCTCTACCAGCAGTGAGGCAGAGGAAACTGAACAGGTAGTACAGGGCGCCAGCCACTTGTTCGCAACCCTCGCTTCGTCAGGTGAGTATACCCTTGTGCAGAATCCCTCGTCAGGTATGCACCATGTGCTCAAACAGGGCAGAGACAGGTTGCTTTGTGGAAGGGCTGTTTTCAAGGCCTTGGTGGCAGCCCCCATGCTGAATTTTGAAAACATTCAGGTGTGCCTCACGTGCCAATCAGTCTGTGAGGGCATCCTGGCTGGCAAGTGGGCGGCTAAGCCCGTTCAATTTGCAGAATAGGGGGCAGCACTTGACCAGGCCTCCAGCTTAAAGCTGTAGAGTTCCAGTCCGGACTCAGTTTTGCACAAGACAGCAGGCATGCGCAGGATGGCATCTTGCACAGCAGGTCCGCAGGTGTTTGCAGGACAAACTTGGACGAAACATCCCCACTTGCAAAAAGAAGCGTGAGCTCTCTGCATGCATTCCGTAAATGTGCACAATTTAAAGGGTTTGGCCTGGGCAATGCACGCCAAACCTGTCTCATGCTTGCCCAGTGGGCACAGACAGCATAAGACGCTTGGCAGAAGGAGAAACGGGACCCGGATGCTGATGCTGGCCAAGGGAGCCAGCATCATCAGCATCATTAGGGGTCCGTTTCTCCAATTTTGACCTCCCATGCGCCCAATGACCTTGATGAAATCTAGATTGCTAGTTTCCAAAACGGCCCGTGTTCATGATACAGATTTTGGGGGTTTTGGGGGACCCCAAAAATCTTTAGAAATATCATTCCGTGCCGTGGGGGTATGCTGTTGGAGCGCATGTGAACTTTGGAGCGGTTGTGGAGTGGGGTACGGGAGGGGCCGTTGGAGAAACGGAGGTCCAATGATGCACCGGGAGGGGGGTCGGCGACAGTGCTGCGTTGCCCGCTCCTGGGCGCAGCCCCTTAAATTCTAGACACGGGCTCCGCCTGCCGGCCGGATTTTAGGACTAGTGGCAGGGGCCGGCCTGCCGCGCTCGTACTTTGAGGGCTTTTCTTCGGAGGGTCCCAATCAGGCCAGAATGGGTTCCTAATTTTGTTGATGATGCTTCTGTACGAGGCGCGTGCGCGCGTGCGCGGCATCATCAGGACAACTGGGACCTCATCTTGGGCTGTTTTCAGTAAAACTAGAGAGAACAGGACCTTCCAAACCTAAAAAAACATCCCAGGTAGGAATAACATAAATTTTTCCTACATCTCTCTCAATCAGGAGCATCAGCACTGGCTTGGCTTTCACATGATGGCTGGGCGGGCAGGGCGGGGGGTTCCGGAAACCCAAAGCCACATAAAACCATCATGACACCAGTATATAACCTGCAGAAAACTTGCATGAGACCATCATAAGTCCTGCAACCCATCACCCCATCCATCAATATCCCCATGGCAAACCCACCATAGAACTCAGTTCCAAACATCCAACATTCAGGAATCCCATCAGGCCTGGCCCAGTGGGCTCAGGCAGCCTAGAAGCCTGGCAAAAGGGGAAACGGCACCCCAATGATGCTGATGATGCCCGCCAAGGGGGCCAGCATCATCAGCATCATTGGGGGTCCATTTCTCCATTTTTGGCTTCCCATGCACCCAATGACCCCTGATGAAGTCTAGATCTTTCTCAGCCGTACCACAAGGGGGCCCTTAGGGCTAGTTTTCAAAACGGCCCGAGCTCATGATACAGATTTTGCGGGGTTTCGGGGGATCCCAAAAATCCTTTCAAAATCCTTCTCTGCCGTGGGGATATGCTGTTGGAGCGCATGTGAATTTTGGAGTGGTTCTGGAATGGGGTCCGGGAGGGGTCACGGGAGAAACAGAGGTCCGATGATGCACGGGCTTGGGGAGGGCTCTGATCTTTTTGGAAATGTGTGTAGGGGACGCTTCAAATCCAACAAGCAGTGGGAGGGATGGGGGGAGGCCGGGGGTGAATGGACTGACAAGAAAAGACATTCCGATCAATTTTGACGGACAGGGCTCGGACCTTTTTTGGAAACGACGGTGTGGAAATTGATCAATTTTGACGCTGGGAGGGGGAGGCCGGATGGGGGTGGGGAGGGCCTTGGAAGCCCGAAGACCTGGGCTTGGGAACCCAATTCTGAAGAGGGTTGGGGTTGCTGACGACAAAAAGAATTTCTGGCGCTCGACCACGGCTAGCCGGGGTCGGCGGATAAGGGTTATTATTGCTTCAGGTATGGGGATCTAATCTTTAGATCCCCCCATGGTTTTTCTACATAATTGAATGGACACAGGTTCCTAATTCGGGACTATATAAGGGAGTAGACAAAACTACAAGAGGGACCGCAGGTCCACCTCCAGGGGCAATCCCGGGGTCCAGGGTCTCCAGCTGCCTCCAATCGCCTCAGGGGCACATCACAACGCCACCGTGCATGCCACCGACGTACCGACCCGCCTGGTGGGCTACCTCGTGCCCGCCTGCGCAACATGGGCGAAACACAGTCACTCCCTGGCCATGACTTGCTGAGCGCGTACCAACAAAGGCCGGTCAAGTGCAGTACCTTCCTGGCCACCCCTTCCGGGGTCAGGTATTGTGGTTCCACAATGCAGCGTGCTTCGGGGCAGTCGCGTCGGTTTGGAACTTCAACGAGGCGGGCGACGCCTTGCAGCACCTCACCAGGGCGCTCCTGTGGCTGCTGGGCAGACACTCACCTCGTGGCAAAGACGGCGTCACTCTGTCGCCAACTCAACGGCAGATCGACAAGCTCACTGCAATTGTCGGTGGCGTCCTCCACGCAGGCAGTTGCACACCAGAACAAGCCCAACGCCTAACCGGGAAAATCAACCTCCCGAACCTGGGCCGTGCGGCCCCCGGCCCGGTATACGGCCGCGCATCCAGCCGGGTCTCGTCGCAGCATTGCGCCCTGCGTGGCGTGCTGCGCGACGCGCCTCCCAGGTTCAAGGTTCATCCCCTTCAAGACCGACAAAGTCGTGGGGGCGGTCATATACGCCGACGCGTTCTTCCTCGAGGGCGAGGTCCGCCGCATGGCGGGGCATCTGCTGACGCCAACATTTCCACGTGCGAATTGCACCATCGCCATCCAGGTGGACACGCAGGTCAATCCTGGCATGGTCGGCAGATGTCCTGGAGCATAGGCCTCTGGGCCGGCGCGTCGCGCCGCTGCGGGGATCGGGGCGCCGGGCGGGTGCAAGAGCGTCCCGTCCGGCCCTGGGGATTGGGGCGTCTGAGGACCCACTTCCCCGCCGAACCGGCGATTTCCCACCGTAAGAAGTGCCGTGCCACATTATGGATTAGACATCACTTGAGCGGTATTTTTGATAGCACGCGTTTGTGCGTTGTAACATGGAGCACATGGGCGGTCCCCGCAGCCGCTTATTTGCTCAAAGCGGCCTTTTGTCCCAGCAGCCCAACCCAGGCGGTTTGTCACAATACGCCTCGAGCGGCGTTGACTGAATCTTACTAAACAGAGTGGGCCTCTACGACCAACCCGGGCTGAAGAGCGCCTTGTCCGGCACCGGGGATTCGCGCGTCCGAGGTTCCATCCCCCCCCGAACCGGCGATTTCCCACCGCAAAAAGTGCCCTGCCACATTTTGGATTGGGGATTGCATTTGATCGGCGTGTTCTTTTTTCTGCTTCATCGCTTCTGATTTTTTTGCCCTGCAATTTTGCGGTTCAAATTGATAATGACTGTTTGTGTTGAAGCTGAAACTTCCTGATACATTGGCCCAATACAGCGCTTGCCTGTGGAGTGTTCTTAAGTCTGGGGTAAAAGCATTCGCTCTGGCAGAGTTTCCTGAGCTCCCGGAAGGCCTCATGTTTGTCGTCCTCGCAGTTGATTTCTGTTACGCATTGACCCAAAAGCTCTAAGATCCTAAACCTTAACCTCCAAACCCTGACCGCCGACGTGTTTTTTGCATCCTTTGTACCTCCTGAAACATCAGGATAACTTTCAAAATAGCGCGTGAGAATTATGATACGACTTGTCACAAGCATTGTATAGTAGCAGCGATAATTTTGAGATTATTCTGCTGCCAACCTCCGTCTCAAGGGGTACGGAGGAGGGGCGGCCATGGGGTCTGGTGGGAGTGTCGGCGTGAGGATTGCAACCGTATATGGTATAGACGTCTTCGTCTTTTTTTTATCATCATAGGGAGGTTGCCGAAAGTCTCGTGCCTTTCTATGCACCCTAAACAGTAGCGGCCGTATGATGCTCACATGCACATTCTCTGCACGCATTTGTGTCACCAGTAGCCACATCACTTGGGCTGAAGCGCAGGGAGGGATCACATGTTTACTGACGCGTCAGCACACGAAGCTTGCGTTCTGAACAGTTGATGCTTGGAGGACTAGCTTTACACCAATCCCTGCTAATGACTTTAGCGTTAAGTAGACCCTGGCACAGCTTCGGGAAGACTTCCCCTCTAACTTCTGATTCACACATGATAAATATCGGTAATTCACAAGCCTACCCATGCCTTCTTGGTTTCCCTCTTGCACTGACATGCACTGACATGCACTGACATGCACTGACAACTTGAACATCATCTCAAGGCAACACTTTGAGAAAACACACATTCCAAGTCGGGCGTGTTGGGGTGTCTGGAAAGCTTGCCTTGACGGTTGTGCTGGGGCAGGCCTAGAGACGGAGTTCTACGGGCACTTTCGACGGGAAGGGAGGACATGGCACGGTGTTCACAAGCTACTGGTCTTAACCTGACCAAGAAGACGCTAACTTTAAATCTAGAAACGTCAGCCTCCGCCGGCCCTCCAAACCTGAGCCCTGGAAGGATGTTTTGCTGTTGTCGCCTGATGCTTTG